ATGCCTTTATAAAATCACTTTTGTTTGTTTCATGGCTTGACAGTAGAAACGAGTTATATATAGATAATTATTCCTGTCTTGTTTCAGTGCATTTTACTGCTGCAAGAAAATACAAGAAAGCAGATATCACACCAAAGCACTCTCACCATTTATACATCCTGCGAAGTCACGTGCATTGTTTTATTTGTATCTGCTCAGAAGAGGCAGAGTGAAAATCAACGACTACCTGCCTTCAAAGAGCTCTGCAGCGACAATAAGCTGAGTAATGATGAGGCTGCTGACTCACGTGAGCAGGTCCCTCTGTGATGTGATAGCTGTGACACCACAGGTATACCTCCTCACCTGAGACCATGACATGCAACACAATTCATTCTGAGTAGAGCGTTCATTATCAGTGGTGGTAATAATTGAAAGATGAAATGTGTCATGCATCAGCTTAAAATACAAAACAACCTGCTCTTTGACCTCTAGATGGGAAATGGATTATTCTGCCATGTTTGCTTATTGATCAGAGAAGAGCGTTGTCAACAATATCCAAAAAGCTGAATCATTAATTGCATTTTGTGCTACGCGAGTCAGCACTTTGCTAAAAGGTGCACCTGCTTTCAAACGTGGCGGCAGATCAAACCGGAACTTGTCTGGCAATCTGAACTGGCATTATGAAAGTTTGAATGACTCTGGTCAGGATAGATAAAAGAGGGGAAGGTTTGGGAGAGAGCCAGGAGGAAGAAGGTTGAGGGAGGTGTAGGAGAGTGGAGATGTAGAGTGACAGACAAATGGAGGAGTAAGAAGACAGGGGGAGGGGGGTGAGGAGCAGCAGGAAGGAAAAGAGGAGAAGATACGTTCAGGTGAGGACATTACATAAGAGTGGGAGCAGGTAAGCTGCTGATGTGCACCTTCCCTGGTGCTCTGGCTTGGTGTCAATCACTTCTCAGCTAACTCCTCTTCACCAACCGTTGTATTGGGCATTTTAAAAGCTAATGAGAGTTGACTTTGTGACTGCGCAGAGTCTAAGATCTACACCATTGAGCTCATTGATCAAAAATATGTAACAATAGATTGCAGGAGTAAATGCATGCAACTAAAATAAATTAAGCATTCATGCTCAAATTGTTGCATTAAATTGCATATACTTGTGGTATATTTACTACATATGTTTGCCTATTCAGGCCTGTAAACCCCTTCTGATGAAACAGCATGAATTCAGACTCATATTATCCACATAGGGCCCTTATGAGCACACATTTAAATACTATAATGGGTCACATCACAACTCAAAAAGGTTTGCCTGCTGATTCTTTGTCTATGGTCCTATAATTGGGAATAATTTGTGGGAGCTGGGGTCATCAACCCCACTCAAAAGAAGCAGCAATAGTGCAGGCATATGGCGCTGCAGGCAACTAATGAATACCTCCGGAATCCATTCAAACACATGTGAAGCCACCATGCTGCCACCTGGCTGCCACACAGACACACGTTAATGTGTTACTGCCACCTAGTGGTTAGATGTTCAAAGAACATGTATAACTTTAAATAGGTCAAATATATTTAAAAGTGTTGATGAAATTAGGTGAGATAATTGTAATCATTGCAATTATCTAGATACCTTATCAGCAGCAGCCCGCACAACCCCCACATATAAGGGATGCTGTGGTTTCTCTATAAAGTACGTATGTAATGTATTTCCTTACTGTTAAGAACGTGCACTATACTGATTTTAAAAGAGCTGCAGGCACATATATGATTTCTTATTTGTGGTTGGGTAACTGTTTGCTGCACTGTGGCTCATTGAGCTGGATGATCTCGCTTAAGGCAAACCCAAGCAGCAGTTGTGTCGTTGATTCACAAACAATGTCAGCAAAACGTTTACATTTACTTGTATTGCTTTTATGGAAAAAATGTATGTTATTTCAAGCACATCTGCTTGTTATGACCCTGCGTCGTACTCTCAAAGTTCTGTTTTTGTTATAATTTGCATTTATATCACAATTACTTTTATTTTACACCCTTTCTTTTATAATGTACAAATCTCACATTTTCTTACATTACATTTCCATATTCTGTTAATGCTGGAATCCATACTTTTTACAGATTCTTGTACATACATTTAGTTGGTTAACTAACAGTTTGCACGTACTAACTAAACCAAATGTACTTCTGTTTTTTTTCCATTTAATATTTGCTGCTACAGTTGCTTAATTTGCCCTTGCAGATAATTAATTTCCTCAAGTCAAATAAGAGGTTTTTGTTTGTGTGTGTGTGTGTGTGTGTGTGTGTGTGTGTGTGTGTGTGTGTGTGTGTGTGTGTGTGTGTGTGTGTGTGTGTGTGTGTGTGTGTGTGTGGCACGGGGTAAAGCAGATCCAATAAGAGGAGATTTGACTGGAAAAGTTTACTTTAGTGTGTCCTGTCTCTTTAAGGGTGGTGGGGGTGTTGGTCTCTATGCTCAGTGTTGTGTATTCACCAGCCTGAAGCTCCTGCCTGCCACTCTTTGTGCTTAAAATAGTTACTCTCTCTATACCACTGGCTGTAGACGGCTATCTGTGCTGCTTTCATATCAGCTTCATAAGTTTGAAATGTTCAGTTAAATCAAATGGGAAATTGGACACTATCCAAGTCAATCAATCAAAGTAGATACATGTCTTCCTGCAGTTTAACCTCAGTTTAACTGAGTCGCGAAACAGTTCAGAAAAACTGGAGGTGAGGACTGAACTTAAGTACATGTTGATGCCATTTAAAACATTCACACATCAAATATTTTTGTATAATTTCAAGCATTTCCTTTCTGAGAGCCCATATGTTTATTTGAGATTGTGCAGTTGACCCACAGGTTAATAATTTATTGAAAGCACTTTGACCTGCACTTTAACTGCAAGCACCTCTTTTCATACATGACACTTGTAGAGTTTCCATTCCTGTGTTTTATGTTATATCTGTTGAGGATTATTTTATGGATTGCGTCTTGTAACTAGGTCCTCCATCTTTAAAGATAATCATCAATCCTGTGTTTCATAATCTTCAAAGATAATCATCAATCCTGTGTTACATTATCCAGCTCTGTGATTTACTCGCTCTCCAGAATGCAAAGTGTCTGTGTGAGGAGACTGTGGGGATCAGCACAAGTGTCCCGGTTTCTTAAAGTGACAAACATAAACAGATCTTTGCGGCAACTGCAACACAAAAAGGTATTGTCATTTCCAATTTACATTTTTGGTATTAGCAGATGTCATTGTTAAAGTGCTCATAATAGTAGAATGTTATCTTTGATGCAGACTTCTGGGAGTTTGAAAGATTTGGGCGTTTGGCAGAAAAGGCCTAAACCTAAAGTGAATTGCATTGTAAATAAATGTATGAGTGTTTCTCGAGCTTGATCGTTAATTAACACTGATTTACTTCAGTCTATCTATAACCCTGTGTTTTACATTGATGTACAAACAACACATTGATGTAATGCTTCTCTATATATCTACACTATCGGAAAACATTGATATACAAAACTGACTTAAGACAAATAATTTGCCCTGTACCCCTTGTATGATCTTTTAGTTACATTATTCAATCATTGATTAGTACATTCCACAAAAGCATTTACTTCAAAATAAAAATAAAGGTATTTGTTTTTTCTCAAAATACATTTAGTTTCTGTTCCTTTCCCCCTGAGCAGCAGGAATCATTGTCTTGTCCATGAACTCGTCTTTGCTTCATAAATGAGTGAAAGTTTATCAAACTAAACTGGGAGTTGTTTGAAGGTTTGGTGACTCATTCTCAGATGTGAGGACTTATTACGTTTAATGTTAGACTGAAGCTCTGCTCCCAGGACACTGATTAACTAAATGCATGAGTTTGATGAATTATTCTCAGCCTGCCTCCTTTTTACTTTGTCAGCTTGTAATTGATTTATTGCACTTTGCGAGTTGTCATACTTTATAAATTGAGTTTCTTCTGTTCTCTTTATTTATCCATGGTTTCATCCTTCCAGGTAATGGAGGACAACAAGCCATGGGCTCTGATCTCAGAGCCTGGCAAAGAAGGTTTCATTGAAGACTTAACCAACATAAGAAAACACTTCCAGATCCTCTGCTACAAAGACTTCCTTCAAAACCCTCAGCTGCACGGCCCTAAAATCCAGGCCATGTTAGTCTGGGGCAAAACCCCCCCAACCGATCCCTTGACTCTCCGGTCTCTTCCCTCGCTGAAGGTGGTCGCTAACGGAGGAGTGGGCATCGACCACCTGGACGTGCCGTACATCAACAGTCTTGGGGTGAAGGTGACCAACACGCCCGGGGTGGTGAGCGACGCCACGGCAGACATGGCCATGGGTCTGCTCCTGGCATCGGCACGCAAGATCGTTCAAGGTGAGTCAAGTTTTCATTTAAATAGACCAATATACTGGACGGACGTCATTGTCCTAAATGTACTGCCGTCAACTTTAATTGTATACAATGAAGCAATATGGGTTCTATTTAAGGATACATGTTTTTATAATGCGCTGTTATACAAACAAAAGAAATTCAGATTTTGAAGAACAATTCTCAACGTGGCATTGGTTAAAAAATAAATAAATTCAAAACCTTCATCTCATCTATTGTAATGTCCTGTCTTCCTGTAGGTCACCAAATAGCTGTTGACCCCAACACCACCAATCATAAACCACAAAGCCTGATGGGAGTTGAAGTCACAGGGCTCGACTATGGGGATTAATAGGAAGGGACACATCGGATGCAGAATCGCTCAAAGAGGCGAAAAGGATTTGCATGAAGACCTGTACCGGACAACAGGACCAGGAAGGTCGTAATTTTCCTAATGTTATTGTTACTTATTCAAACCTCTATCACCAAATATGTAAAAAGCCATGAGTGAAGGGAGACAGTGATGTGTGTCATGTTTTCTCTCGTTCAAGGAGTGTTGAGGAGAGCAAAGCGGTGGGTCTGCCTACTTATTGTGAGAAAAATGGATGACCTGCTTGAAAGAAGCTGACTTTGTGGTTGCGCTGGCGGTCCACCTGAACCCCTGAGACCACCGGCCTGATCAGCACCAGAAGGCTGAACCTCATGAAACACAGCAACACTGGCAACATCCAGCAGAGTGAGGAAAGGATGTCCAGACGTGCACTAAGTTGCTCTTTGTTGAAGAGTTACACATTTACTGAAAAACTCTGAAAACACAATGGTGCACCTCTGTGCCATCAAGGGTCGGGTTTGTGGATCAGGACGCTCTGAGGTCAAAAGCTTGCAGTCGGAGACATCTCGCGGCGGCATTAAGACCGTGACCTACCTGAACCGCTGCCAAGGGTTCTCATCACACCTCCTCACCAAGAATCACAAATTACATTCCCATTATCTTTGAACTTGTATTTGTACAAAACACACTTCTTGTTAATTTCACAGTAAACTCCTTCGGCCCCATAACAACTCCCCTCGTCCCTTCATCTTGTTTTCAGGGGAAGTCATCTTGCTTGGTCTCCCTAACGATTCTGATCACCCCCCCGTTGGCACAGGGGACACTTCTCTCCACCAGCAGAAAGATTGTGAGAGGATGGTAGAAAATGCTGTGCTGTACTGGAAAGGCCAATCTAATTCCCAAGAATCAAAACCAAAAATGAAGTCACTATGGTGTGAACTCATGTTCCGAGGTTAGGAGTGTCCCACTGTTGCAAGGGAAAGTACATATGTTAGTTTTAACGCCGTAAATTGGTATTCTTTCTAATCGACCGCCATGTATGTCATTGAGAACTTTTTGAATGTCACCATTAACATAACCCCTTTTTTTTTTTTAAACTGGGTAAAAGGATACAGTATCTATGCTAATATCACTTTTATGTAAACCAAATGTTGCGGAAATGAAATAACTATGAGAATTTTAACGTTTAGAAAGATTGATCCTTAACCAAGTTTTGTTTTAAATGAAATTACAGTAACATTTGTACAACAGCAAAATCTTAAAAAAAGTTAAAAGCTTCCTCCCAATGTTGGCAACCTCTGCACTTTAACCCTTAACTTCCAAATCCTCCTTCCTGCCTTGAGGAACCCAAGACACTAAGAAACAGGTTGAAAAAGGTGAT